TGCCATCACACCGCTGAGCCGGGGAGTGGGGTGACTCTCACTAACCTTTCTCTAACTCTTATTCACTCTCTGCAGGGCAGAGGGAAAAGGGCCACAATACAATGGAAAATATCAAAATGTCATCTAAAACCATACTTGAGAACAGGGTTTCTATTCTCTCCCTGGAGCCAACTCCTGTAAAGAGGACATCCTATATAATTCATTCATTTTCCATTCAGCGCTTGTCGGTCAGGCACCTTCTATGTGGGAGACCCCCGCCCTCCAAGGAGATGGGGAGAAGCAAACCGGGGGCCACCCCCGGGAGCTGGGAGCAGACAGGCTTGACACCGGCCACCGCCTGAGGACCGCCAAGACCCGGGAGCGCTGCTCAGCCCCCTTCCCAGTTCCGCCACCACCACCCCACAGGCGACGCATCTGTGGCTGACTCATTTGCCAGATGGAGAAACTGAGGCTTGGGAAGGTGGAGTGGCCCCTTGGCCTCCAGGTCCGCCCTCCTGCTCAGTGATGAAGTCCATGCCCAGCAGAGGGACAGCATGGTGCAGGGGATGCTCAGGAAAGGTTCCCAGAGCTCAGAGCGGCGGGAAGGGAGGAGGGGACGGCCCAGGCTTCCTGGAGGAGGCAGCCGGCCGGTGTGACTTGTGCCCAGCTAGATGACATCACCTCTTAATTTAAATATGTCGGGCTGGCAAAAACTGCATCCACAGGGGATTAGGCCAAGAAGACATTAACAGACTCTCCATTTCAAAAGCAGTCCTCATCATTGTCCTTCAACATAAATAAGCTGAGTCAAATGACCTGAGCTAGTTTTGTGTAATAAGGACTGTCTTGGGAGGAAAGGATTGGACAGGCAGATTTACGCAGGGTGGGGACAAATATTCCTTACTTGGCAGAACACAGCAGAGTTAATGTCACCGTGAATAACCTGTTTACCCAGTGATTGTGTGATGAATGAATATCAAAAGGCTTGCAGCATACAGCCGCCGTCTGAGACGGCTGTTGTAGTTACCAATGCGGTACAAAAAGTAAATCGATTGAAATTATCTCCTGGGGACAACAACGTGCAATTAATGGGCTAATTAATAGGCTTGGGTGTTTTAAAAATCCTCTCATCCCTGAAAAAAATAACCAAGAGAAATCGTGATTTCAAAGTTGGCCTGAGAAGTTTCTTTTAGAGAAACAATACCTAATGGTAAATAACCCAGCCGTTTACTCAGATAAAACCATCAGTGCTGACCTGGCTTTGAACCCTCAGGGTTCCGACTGCCCTCCCCTAATCCTCCACCTGCCCCGCTGCCTTGCACCTGCACATTCCTGAGCACCTGCGGGCCAGCCCAGAGGCAGCCCCTCCCCTCCGTCCCCTCCGTCCCCTCCCTTCCCCCTTCTCCCTCCCTTCTCCCCCTCCTCCCCCTTCTCCCTCCTTCTCCGTTCCCCCTTCCCCTGCCCCTTCCTTCTCCCTCCTCCTTCCTTCTCCCTCCTTCTCCCTCCTTCTCCCCCGCTTTCCCCCTTCTCCCTCCTTCTCCCCT